CATACACCACTCATCATACACCACTCATCATACACTACTTATCATCCAGTTTGCTCTACCTCCAGTTGTCTCCAGTGTCAATAGCTCTAGCTCCAATAAGCTCTTAGTTTCAATAGCTCTAGCTCCAGTTAGCTCTGGTTTCAACAGCTCAAGCTCCAGGCAACTCCAGCTCCAGGTGCAGATTTCGTGGCAGGTGCAGCACTTTGTGAACCTCCATGCGTAGATTTCGTGGCAGGCACAGCACTTTGCGAACCTCCATGTGCAGATTTCGTGGCATGCACAGCACTTTGTGCACCTCCATGTGCAGATTTCGTGGCAGGCGCAATACAAAATGCGTTGTGGAGAGGCAGCGAACGCACGAAATGCTGTATTTTTCAATGGAACCGGTGGAATCGTCCCTCCATTCGGATTAGAGTTTTCACTTGTTTCTTGAAGTGCAGATTTCGTGGCAGGCACAGCTGTGAACCTGCATGTGCAGATTTCGTGGCAGGCACAACACTTTGTGAACCTCCATGTGCAGATGTCGTGGCAGGTGCAGCACTTTGTGAACCTCCATGTGCAGATTTCGTGGCAGGCGCAGCACTTTGTGAACCTCCATGTGCAGATGTCGTGGCAGGTGCAGCACTTTGTGAACCTCCATGTGCAGATTTCGTGGCAGGTGCAGCACTTTGTGAACCTCCATGTGCAGATTTCGTGGCAGGCACAGCACTTTGTGCACCTCCATGTGCAGATTTCGTGGCAGGCGCAATACAAAATGCGTTGTGGAGAGATAGCGAACGCACGAAATGCTGTATTTTTCAATGGAACCGGTGGCTCCGAAGCTGGCAAGTCAAGGTCTGCGGAACGACGGGTGCGAGACGGTCTCGGGTCATTCTCGGATCATTCTCGGAATCGTCCCTCCATTGGGATTAGAGTTTTCACTTGTTTCTTGAAGTCTTGAAGTGCAGATTTCGTGGCAGGCACAGCACTTTGTGAACCTGCATGTGCAGATTTCGTGGCAGGCACAACACTTTGTGAACCTCCATGTGCAGATGTCGTG